TAATCATCCACGAATTCTCCCTCCAGTAAATATTTACCATTGTACCAGGCAGCTCTCAGCCTAGCCTGTTTTCTCCAAGATAACATTTAGTTTACAAACCAAAAAATCAATAACTGGACAAGACCAATTAATAGATTTAAGGTTGAAAGTTTAAAAATTATAGCATGATGTATTTATACAACCAAAAAACAGAATAATCCATATACATTGTGAGTAGTCATGTCATAGTTTTACTTTTCAATTGAGTTTTATCATAAATGTGTGAAACACATCAAAATCAATATACATCATTCTTCACGGCCATATTTAATGATCATTGATCTTCCTAGGTAAAAACGTTTTAAAAATATCAGTTTAAAAATCACTTTTCTAGCTGATGTTTAATTATTAAAAAAGAAAACACAAGCCTAGCTACGTCCTTCATTTTTACATTGATAAATTACTGTCTTTCACAGTCACTCCACATGTGGCTAATAAGTTTTTCAAAACTTACAAAAAAACTATTTTCAAAAGTTAAATAGATGTACTTCAAATTCACTTTTGATTGTAAGAAATTTTAATGTACACTTGAGAACGATGAATAACACACTGTTTTCCTTTATCTGTAAATTCTAAACCTTCATACATATACTGGGGTAGCTGTAACTGTATTTACATTTTAAAGGCTCAAGTATGCAATCATTGTCGCGACAAGCTGTAGCAAAATATAGATTAATATTGAGAACGTTTGCCCAAGGTTTCTTCTGAAATTAATTGTTTCCATGTTGTCACACTTTATGTGACTGAAAATCCATATTCTACACAATACGTATGACAATAAACTCTTTCAAGCTGTTTTGAATGTCTGAGGTAACCCCTACTGTGAATTATTCTAATACAAGTCAATTAGTTTTCAACATGCTTGTACATTTTGCACATTCCCAATGACAGCTATATGTAGCACAATCTTAATATTTAAACAAAATAGGTATGTATGTATGATAATTTATTTTGAGATCTGAAAAAAATTAGCAATTACTTTGAAAATTATAACAAAATTTGAATTAAAATTTATTTAGATTTTTACCGAAATCTGCATAAAGCAAATTAACAAACATATCAAATACAACAATGAACTTGACATTTCATTTAAAGGTAGTTTTTGAACCTAAAATAGGCACCACTGATTTGACAAGGAAAGTTTACCTTAAAAGCGATAACCTAACTAAACATTCAACAACATACATTGTTAGCTTAATCTTCCATTTTAAAAGAAATTTCTTGTTTCTTAAAAACGGTTTAATGATTTTTTTTTTTACGTGACAGCTGAGCCACAAACAATCTTAAAATAACAAAGATAAATGTTGTTCTGTTTTTAATATTAAGATATTTTTATTAAATATGTAATTGATAGCTGATGTTTTATACTGACCAATGTTTCAGCTCTGCTGTATCTCAATTCATTTTAACATCATAATGTCAATTGTGCTTCAACAAGAAGTGGGCTCAGGCTAGACTTATTGATAATTTAGGGAAAATGAGTTCTTTTAAGTGCTTCTTAAAGGGGCTATTTAGTCACATGACACCTTTAAAATGGAGAATCTACTGAGAATATATCTTCGAACGAAAGTTTACGTAATTGATAATGACATGACCTGAAGCCAACATCCAATGTTGTCACTTTTATCTTTTGGGAAAGCCGGTGATAAAGATAGCTACGACCAAAATAGGGCAATATCCGGGCTTTAACATGTACGGTACAATGCTGTCGCCCGACAACACAGTGTCAGTGGGTCTGATTTCACACATAACACACATTCTTGTCACTTTGAATTTACACAATACATCGCAAGCAAGAATTATACATATATCATAATATAAGCTAATGAGATATTTCTGTTCACATTTGATTTGGATTCAAATAAAAAGTAACAGAGTATGCACACATCTAGAGGTTATACCGCAGGGAGACTTTCAAACCGCACAAAGTACGATATCAATAGGTTTAAATGTAACAAATGTTACTCATTTATAACGATGATTGACATATTGTTTGGATTTGATTCTATAGATTCAGAACAAATGCCTGTATTGGTAATCCAAAGAAGTGAGGGTGAATAAAGCGAAATCTACCTTCTCTCCTCGGCTGAAAAGACATCTTTATTAGCTAGATGTTCACAGACAGCTGCTGCTGAAATATATGGTTGTACAGTAAAGGGTTTCTTCGTTACTGATTAAAAACGCCAAGAAAACATTGTCTCCTGTCAATTTCTCGACATGAAATGTCCATAAGGAGTATCTAACTCCATTATCATGAGAAATTTTGTGGCAAGATTTCAAAAAATTATTACCTCACTAAATTGTCCCTTTAACATTGTATAACTTTGCAACACTGTATCTATATATAAATATGAACATATTACGAGTTGAGGTTTTGTCAATATTGATCTGTGAGAAGGAAAAGATCAATGAACACCAAATGAACGTAAAATATTATTATTGTGAGTTCAAAGGAAAAATATTTTAAGGGGGGGGTTGTTTGAATAACATTTATAAAAAACTCATTATACAGTGTGATCACTAGGTTTAGGAAGAATATAGACTATACATAATTGTTATACATCTTAAATATGGATTGAATTTCATTTTGACGGCATACACAGTGGTATGAACACAGTTAGCAAACAAACATATTCTATGGTACCTGTCACTGTTTATAGGCCAACAGTCTTCATTAGACTCTTCTAACTCTTCATTCGAAGGACACCTCATTTATGAGGAATTAGTATTTATATATTCTTTCAGGCCACAAAAAGAATACAGTGTCTTCAATACAATGCCATTTTGTCTGATTTGCTACTTCGCTAACCACATATTTATTTCAGTGTCTCCTTTCCTTTTTTTCTTAATAATCTCCACAATGTTCTGGATTAATCTAATGCCAAACCCTTTATAATGCCAAAATATTGTTGGACACAAGCTGGTAGCATTACAGGTTTACTGAACAGCAATGATAACAGTGTAAGTGTAGGCTCTCATAGATATACCAACCCTGAATTCCCATCCCCTCAAAGTGGTCAAAAGTGACCTTTGACCCTTTAACTTTGACTGCTGCTGATCAAAATCTCATCAAAGTTTGAAGTTAATGTTACCCCAATATGGTATGAATCTAAACTAAATCTGTTCAGGGGTTCACCAGATCTCTTGTACACAAACATTTTACCTCAAAAGTTGGTCAAGTACGTGACCTTTGACCCTTTAACCTTGAATGATGACCAACGTGATCTAATCAGGTCTGTAACTTGATACCATCATGCAATCTGTCTAAATAATGTGTTAAAACAGAAGTAATCGTTTGTGGGGTTCTTGAGATATCAATTGCACAGAAGCTTTTTACTACTGAAACACTGACGGACACACAAACATACTGACCAAGTGGTTAATGTATGATCGCCCCACCCCTACCACCTCCAATCTCCAATCTATAAGTGGGAGGTATATGAAATAAAACCTGTGTGAAATATCAATTCTATGCTGTAAATATAAATTATTTGTGATATTCATAGATAAACAACGGAAATATCTAAAAGATATATTAACAGGTTATGTATCAATTAATATGACAAACAAAGACGATAAAACCCTCAGCTATATTTGTACATTTTCTTCCTTTTAAAGTCTTCACAACATGTGTGATAGCTAGGTCAAAATGATCACTTTTGTTGAAAAAATAACATTCAATATTTTCATTAAAAAGTAAATGAAATTGTTAATGTTGAAAATAACACAGTTAGTAATCGTTGAAGGCAGTAACTAGGTTAAAGGTTAAAGGTCAAAGGAAAGAAGTCATTTAGCACAGCACCCGACAGATTCAACATACATTTGCATATCTATCACATGCTGCAGGTGAAAGTCATCATATCCAAGGTGAAGGTCATTCTCCTAAGGGCAAGGTCAACAAAGGGAAATGGTTACAAATCGGGAAAGAAATTAATGGAATGCATCAAAACATGCCATTCTAATGAAGAACTTTTTATTCTCTGTGTAAAAAACAAATGTATACACCATAACTCCCTCGAAAGGGGACAAGCCTGTTACACATGCTTATATAACCTTCATGTGTCCAGGCACTGGCATGGCTGATGTCGTACAGAATCGGAGAGATGGCGCCAGACTCGGACCGCAGTAAAACAGGTCTTGACAATTGTGCAGCCAAGTTGTTCTCGGTTCCCACAGTTTTTTGTGCCCCTCTGTCACCTTTCAGTTTAACTTTGCTCTTCTTTTGACTTCCTGTGCATATGTTTGGCTGTTCTATCTGATTCATTGCACCCCTCATGTTCCTCAAAGCTTTTTCTGGTGAACAACTTTCACCTACTCTCATTTCTCCTCGGGATGAAGCAAACTCGTTGTACAATTTCTGCAGATTTCGTATTTTACTAGCTTCATTTATTGTCAAGCTATATTCCTCTTCACAATCAGTGTTACTTTGTTTATGCAAAGGAATTAAGTTCTGAAAGTTGTCTGTCCTTGGAGAGAACTCTTTGATTCTAGCTAAGTTTGTCCTTCTTGTGAGAGATTTTGGTTTCCTGAATAACCCTTTCCTTTTTGCTACACATACAGTATAGGAGACACATCAGATAATGTCATACAGATTTTTTTTCTATAATTTTGTCAATTATATCAAAGTACCTGAAAAATTCTTCTACATATAGCAAATATATTTACATTTAACATTTTAATTTCTTAACATTTATCAAAATATTAATCTAATAGATATAAGATGTATAAGTAAATCGATGACCCTCAAAATGACACAATTCTTTTGAGAATGGTATTAAACAAAAAATACATTAACACCTGCCTGTAAAAATGAATACATACTACGTACAGCAGGGGTCCATTAATATTGCAACAACACAATCACCACAGTAAATGATATTTCTTGTCCTACAAACATTAAGCTAACAGCGATACATTCTACAACAACATCAAAAACAGATGGTAAATCTAATGGTACCTACCGGTCATTTTATCACTGTCCAGTCCGGAGTCAGGGGACGTGTGTCGTCCACTGGAAAAAACAAGAACAGAGAAATCAGTACAGCTGTGGGGGTGATATAGTAATGTTTACTCTTAGATCTGGGGGTGATATAGTGTAATGTTTACTCTTAGATCTGGGGGTGATATAGTGTAATGTTTACTCTTAGATCTTGGTGACAGCAGAAATCAGTACAGCTGTAGGGGTGATATAGTCCAATGTTAACTTAGATCTTGGTGACAGCAGAAATCAGTTCAGCTGTGGGGGTGATATAGTGTAATGTTAACTTAGATCTTGGTGAAAACAAAGAGAAATGTCTGCCAAATAAAGGCCATATAAAGACATATCAGGTGATACAAGCCTTCCCAACCCCAAACAAAGTTTCTGTTTTATTTGCAAAAAGAAAAAAGTAAAAAAAGTACTTACTGTTTCTCATGCTTTTTTTTCTACAAGATAAAATAGTAAAATTAGCAAATCATGAAAATTCTGAAATATTTTACTTCATTTTCGTAAATCTAAGAGCCAAAACCATCTGGAACCAAGTTTATACAGTGACTTCAAGAAAATTTCTGCAATATCTGATGTAATAGAAGGGCCTTCTATTACTACTACGAAGTTATTACCGGGAATTTAGCCCCAAATTACCCTGTCAGGGTCTGTTACCCTGAGTTACTGACACGCTGTCTTCATAATCTGACTAAATGATTGAGAACCTACTAATGTCGTAAATACAAGTCAGGTTTTTTTTATCACTATTTTGGGAATAGGGCTGAATGCATCTTGGGAAACCAAATCGGGATTTTTTTAAAATTATACCAAAATACTGATTTTTTTTGCCAAATATCATCTTAACAGTATGCCCTTGTTATTAAAAACATTTAAATCTGCAATATGTATTTTATTAATTTCTTTCAGAGGTCATAATTGGATTTCATGGCAGTTTATTCCCATGTACAAATGTATTCCTACTAAAATATCAAATTTTCAAATTATTCTACTTTTGTATCTGCATTTCTGAGCCCTAGATTTTTTGAAAATAATATGAGTCAATTAAATATACTTAATATTACAAATCTGACATTTATCTGCAGTTTGCAAAAAACTTTCTTGAACTTTCATCCATACACAACTTTTAAAAAAAAACACGAAGTCAATCCAATATATTATATGTTACCATTCCACAGACTATTTACCTTCTGTGATTTCGGTGACCAGAACTTTGTCCCATCCTTGCCAGATTTTTGCAATTCAAACTTGGATGGCTCCTTCAAAAACAAAATAATATGTGTTAGCTGGTAACTAGTACAAATATTTAATTGATATTTGTTAAGTAACTATAAAGTTAAGCAGAAATAGAAGAGGAGTTTCACAATTTTATAAGCTTTAGTTTTGAGAGCAGACAAAACACTACATCCCTGACCTCGAATGTCTGAGGCCCCTCGCGTATCTGGTTCAACCAGTTGAAACGGTTGAACCTGAAAGAAAACGACAGGCGCAGATCTGAACCGAGACTGACCTCAGGAATATTCGGCACGTGTAGATTGATGGGTCCAGATGTGCCTGACCGAAACTAAAATGCTGACTATTGCTAGTTTGCGTTATTTCTTTATAAAACAATGTCAAGCCACATGTAGATTATAAAACAATGTCAAGCCACATGTAGATTATAAAACATGGTCAAGCCACAAGTTATATTATTTGGTGGGCGTGTGAAAGAAGGACATATTGTTCTTGATATCCTGTTTTTTATTCTCTGAAACTGTGCATTTTTTTAACTCTGACTACAGTTCGGTCCAAGTGTGTTACTTTATCATGGAATATTTCTGCACCACCAGAACCGGATACACAAATGCGACCTTAGTTTCAGTATAAAAAAATTGACCATAACCTTGAGATGGATCTTCAGAAATTAACCCTGTCATATAGTGGAGATATACACGTGTTTAAAGTATAGCATTAAACGTATTAAAAAAACTTCATACTTCATAACATTATATGGCTGTAAAAATATGTTATTTGCTCTATGGCATTTGTGCAATAACAAATATGACCTTTACCTTGGAATGAAATAAGGTTTAACAAAAGTTCTATTAAGTATTGATCGGTATATGTATTTTCATACTAAAATCTCATAACCAACAGTTTAATATTACTTTGACAAGCTTTATATTTTTAGAGACAGTCAAAAAGGGGTTTTGGATATATTATCTACACCCCATTTCCAGTACATGAAATTTGAGATAGTTATAAAACTTCAATATATTGCCCCTTGTTTTCATTTGTAACCTCGCTTACCCATATTTCAATGTCCTATTTTCTTTTTATGCCTCCCCTGATAACTTGGTCGACAAATGTTTGTAGGTTTTATTTTATTCTGTTACAACATGACAAAAAAAACACCCCATTTATGGTGGAAAGTAAAATGTTAAACTTGCTTTCCAAGCGTGGTCTTTTTTATCGAAGTCCACAAACTTTGTGGTGTTCTTTGAGTTTTGTTTGAGCTTAAAGCCAGGCCCAGTAGGTAAGTTAAGGTTTCTGTCTGCGGTGAAGGGTGACTGGGTTTTCAGCATGCGCTTCTTTCGCTGTTTCAATTTAAATGCAGCTGGGGCTGAAACAGAACAGTTTTTTTTATCAAATTAGTGTCTCTTAAAAACTTAAAATTCACTGTAAATCACACAAGCTTTAATATATAATATTTCCTTTGAAACATATTTTTTGGTGCGAATCGGTAATTTATACAGTATGAACAACATATATAGATACATTGAAGAAGGTGGACTGACAATGTTTAACTTTGAATTTCTTTTACACTTCAATGCTTTCTCCATATCACCATGAACATTAAATTCTTGCATTAACTGCATGCTCTTAAACAAATGTCATTGCCATGATTTTATTACATCAATTGTTTTAGAATTAAATGTAATCACAATATTTGAGGGAGTTAAAAGGATATGAAATATATACACAGATGTGTTAAATATGAAGAGTTATTGCATTAGAAAATGATGATGTCAAAAAATATTTTTTTTGACATAACTGATCATGACCAAAGTCAAAACACCAGAGAAAAGATAGGATTGTTAAAATTTGTACACATTTAATAAATATGTTTTCCCATCCAGGGGAGACAACTAGTACAGAAATAGAAACATATTTTTTCAAGCACAATATGTGGGTAAAACCATGTGAGTAGTATAGGATAGTACAAAACAGTAAACATGGTGTAAGGTATCATATAAGACACAGATCTACTGTTCATAGCATATATTCTCATTCAGGTGCATTTTCATTATAAAATCAAGGTCTAATCATTCAGGCTATAACTGTTGATTATTCTCCAGGAAAAAGTGCCAACCACACGGCAAATCTCCTCCAAACGTCGGAATTTATTGGAGCAACATTGAAATGTTTCGACTCAGAGGCGAGTCGTCATCAGAATAACAATAATGTTGTGACGTCATCGATAAGTGTGTATAAACATTTCTAAATTGGTGACGTGATAATAGCTAGAGAATGCATATAGTTGCGTAAGTCATTACAATTGCATTACAATTACATTGGCAGAATTATACTGTAAGGTACATGTATGTACAAAACAAAGGTTTACTACTTGGTATCCACGGTATAATGAATGAAGAAATAGAAGATACATGATCACTTATCTAGGATGTTGTATCTTCAACCCCCCTCCCTGCTGTGTTGATTATTCTGTGGAATTACCTCAATTAGTTTAATTAAAAAAAAATAAAAAATGGACAGTATATTCAACTAGAACTCTTAGCCATAGGCATAACCCCCACCTGTTGCACAACTGCTGAATTTTCAACAGCCAATAAGAGGACACTGCAACCACTTTGAATCCTGTTTAGAGGCTGGTATCAAAACCTAGTGTTTAAAAGGTAAATCCAAAAACACTCAAATAAAATAGACGTGAATCCTGGAGTATATTTTGCAGTTGTGTTCATTTACCTTTGTAAAGACGACCTTTCCTCTCAGTTCGCTGAGAGCTGGCGTAACCAGACATGTCTTCATCTGTCAACACAACACCATGCAAAGAAATTGTGAAGCAAACATTCGCACAGAAAAACACATGCATCAGCAAGCAAGTGAAAGCACTTAACCTGTCACCATTCATATCAGGATAGAATTTATATTAACTTTCAATAGCTTTTTTTGCAAACTACGCATGAAGGTTTTCAGTGATTTTTTGCAGTGAATTTTAGGTCTAATAAAGGCCTCTTCCCCTAGATATTTTACGATTTCTTTTCCAAAAATCATTTTCAAAAATTTCCTTAATTTTTTATTTAGATCTTGCTATTTGTGTGTGATTTTTTCCCCAAAGTCACAAGGCACAGGTCCCTGTCAAAAAGGGAAGAAAAATCTCTGGTTTTATTAACAAATATATGAATTTGGGATTGAGAGGATGCTATTTCAAAATTGGTGGTGATTATATATATCTCAGGAAATATACTCACGGAAGATTTAGATGAGTGAATCAGTTTCCTCATGAATCAATGTAAAAATCAATTTCAAGAACTCTTCCTATGCATAAGGGTCTGAAGGATGGGGGAGGGATAATGTATGGAGGAGGGGGGAATGGAAGTAAGGGTTGAGGTGTAAGAAAGGGAGATGGTTATGGGGACGGTAGACGAGTGTGTGGTGTACTATAATATAAACTTTTTTCAACAATTATAAAACAGGCTATTTATTATTTAAACTTATGTTAATCATTCGTTTTGGTCGGATTTTAGCGCACAAGGGTTCTTGATGTTGGAGGAAACTGGAGTACCTTGAGAAAACCCCTGTTGTCCGGCAGGTGACACCATACCTTCTCACGTCCGATCAGGGAATCAAACCCTGGCTGCCTTGTTGAAAGGCACATGCACTATCCACTGCGCCACCTGACCACCCCACCAGTAGGGGTCTTGAGGTAGGGGATGGAGATAGAGGTATAGGGACAGTAGGTAAAGAATGTGATGATGTGGAGCGGGAGAATTACTGAAGAGCTTAGAGTTTGAATGAGAGTTTGGGGAGATGGGTGTGGCGACTGGAAGATGGTAATGGTTGAAGTGTTGTAAGTGTAGAATTAGTGAGTTGACTTACTGTATAGCTAGTAATATTTGTGGGGGATATAATTTGGCTATATTCATGGTAACTAAATAATCAGCAAACATTACCACCCTTGATTATATAGACACGATTCAAAAGCCTGTTTACCTGTTTACTACCAAATACAGAAGTAACATGTACATGTAAAACAACAATTCAATATCAGATTTTACTATCTCACAATACACTTGTAAAATAAACCCAATTTCCCAAACACAAATACATGGTCATGTTGCATGAAATATAATTGCTGCAAACTAGTTCTGACCAGGAAACGTGTAAATTTTAGCCCCAGGAAAATAAACAACTGTACAGTGTTCTAAACTCAACAATGTAATGGCATATTCAGACTTATTATACACATTATAGATAGCAATCTCACAACAGAAACAGTAAGAGGGTCGGACGGATAAGTAACAGGGTAAGGGAACAGGGAGGTACCTAGATGAGAAGGTGGGCTAGGGTGGGATTTGAGGATAACAGTGAAACAGTTCACAAACCATCACCAGTATCAACGACATCAACATGGATCCTTTCTGAATCAACTCACCATCGTCAGTCTCCTGTCCACTCCCTGCAGTGCGGCTCCGTGGGCCGATACCTTTGTATTTCAAATCTTCACTGTCTGAATCTGTAGTGAAAGCAACAGTTGTGAAGCTTTAACAGATATGTGTCAAAGCTTTTAATCATTCACCCCTGAAAATTCATAATGAAATATTCCAACCTTTGAATTGGAGGAGTTCAAATGTGTCCTCATGGGTGAATGAATTAATATATGATTTTTGGTAAGAGAACTTTTTAACCTGACCAGGATATGTCTATCATCATTTTTCTGATTTATCACTTATATATAGTTTTCATAATTACTTTCACATCGGACCTTCTAACTTACCTTTGTCAATGTCATAGTCTGAACTTTGACCCCTCGACCCTCGCCGACCCCTGTCCTGATCATGGCTGGAGAGAGTATGAGTATCGTCGTCATTGAAGCCGAGACTCTGTCTGTCTGCCAGTATCCCCTCATCCTCAGTATCAATCGACCCTGAAGCTGTTCCAGCATCCTCTTTCCTCTCATCTTAGTTAAAGAAAAACACAGAGAACAATGTATTTCTCATATTTCATCTAGCAATATAAGGCAAACTAAAAAAAAATGTCAGTAAAAGATTAAATATCCTACCCTTTATTTCAATGCTGACTCTACATATTTTATGCCTTTCTTTGAGACAAGCACCGTTAAGGTCAGTATTTGTGCTCCAAGCCAAATTTTCAACAAGAAGCACATAGTGCCTGTATCTCTAACATGTTTCTATTGTTGTCTGAGCTTCAGCCCCCTGAGGAGCTACAGTCTTCCTTCATAGAACAATTGATTCTCACGCACCAGATATTCATATGTCAAAATATCTCAAATCTGTTCAGGGGACCAAAGGAAACTTCTCTGCTCTATTCTTCTATTCTCTCTCTCTGGAACATTTTGCAAATACATCCTTGTATCTGCAGTGTTCCATTATCCGGAGTGAAAATGGAACACTGCATTTTCACATAATCTTTAATAGATTACAGAATCTGCTCTATTCTCTCTCTCTGGAACATTTTGCCAATATCTGCAGTGTTCCATTTTCACTCTGGAAAATGTGTACATTATCACAACTGAAACATGCACCTACAACCTTGTTTCCTCGCTAACAGTGTCCAAGTTTCATCTTTTGAGTAGTTTAATGATAAATTTGCTGATAAATCTACATTTTTCCTCTGCATTCTACTGCTGTGGCAACCATATCAGTTGATGGCTTGATGGATGTAGCTACAGTAACTAGGTAGGGCAGAAGAAGGCGTTGTTAGCGAGGGGTCACTTGGTCATATTCTTTTAATAGAACTTACCTCGACCACTAGCTGATGGTATAGGGGGTAGAAAGTTCTTCTGTCCCTGTTCACTCCCAGATCTTAAGTTACGGTCTAGCTCCTCCTCAATCAGTTGCCTTTCCTCCTTGGTCAGACTGGGCACTGATCAATAAAAGGTCACAAGCCATACAAAATGTTTCTACTTAAATGATGAGAGAATTAAGACCTTATCACAAGAGACATATCTATTTAAAGGTATGGGTATCCCATCATTGTAATGATGTCGTAACCAACTGACCTGCCTGGTTGATAGCAGTATCTATTCCAGGGGTACAGAGAACATGAGAGAGGGTAACCCCCTGAATTTCAAAGTCGTACCCTGGGCCAAGTTACATCCAAAACGAAATAAAGGGGAGGTAACTATGTATACAAAAAAAAAAAAAGGAAAAATTCAAGTTTTTTGCCTACAGCAGCAAAGGGATTGTCAAAAGTGAAAGCAATTTTGTGCTAAACTTTAAGGTGGGGGAAGACGGTTAAATATTTTAGAGGTGACTGAAGGAAAGCAATTTTTTTGAAGAAAGGAAAGTATGTCTGTAACTTTGGGTACGAGTAAAGCTTGTTACCTTTGGATGTTTTGCGTACAAGAAGGTCGGGTAGGGTTAGCCGCCAGTTGTCCCCGTAATGTTTTTTCAGTTCTTCTTGAAGGGTTCGCGCTTGAGGGAGGCCACCCGTCGTCTTGTACAGTTTGTCAAGGTGATAGCTAAAACCAAATTAAGGTGTCTTATCAGAATCAGATTTAAAACATTAGGAGTACATGTATTTGTAAAATCAAAGAAACAAATATTGGATTCAACATTTTCAAGCTATTTTCATTGAAAAGGATTGTTAGCTAAAATGTGAGAAAATTTACTGATCCAGAAAAATTCAGCAGCTACGTATTGTTTCATTTCTATTTTGATTTGACTACTTTCATTTTTATTTTATATTTCTGAAGTCTGAAAAAAAATTTCAATTTTCTGATGATGAAGATTGTGATAATATTAATGATGATTTATGCAGTAAAAGAGTTTTTGAAATTAGGCCTGTGGCTTCAATCGAGTAAGTAAAATTTCTTTTGAAATACACAAAAATAGGAATTTTCAGAGTTGTTTCATTTTTTCTTCTTCTTTTAATACAATTAAAAAAGATTGCTTGTCCTTATTATTTAGGATACATTATTTAATTCATATTATTGCATTTTTATCCGAATAGAAAATGAAGAAAGCAATTTAGTTTTGGAAACTTTGGGAATTATGGCAATATTTTCCATCTGGAAGGGGTCTGAGCTTTGCCCCAAAGTGGCCCTAAAAAGCGCGGATATGGAGTAGAAATTAATGTTTGATCTTAAAATAAATGTGATAAAACCACTTACTGAGGTTTTGATGTCCTATCACATCCCGGACACAACATGTGCTGTCGACATCCGAAACAGAACCCAGGGAATGTGTACTCTGGATCACGTTTGTCCGTTTCCGACAGCAGTTTCTGATGTAACAGAATACTGTTTACAATGGGGTAGTAACGCTTTGGCTGGGCCAGGAATTCTTGACGCAGAAAGGACAAGGATGGGACTTGTGGAAGGTGGTTCAGGCTAGAAATATAAAGTAAGGTATATATCTATATCAGATTTTTGTGATGTTGCCTGGTCACATGTGATATAATATTCAGGTATAATCCTTCACACAGCATTCCTGATAACTGAAGTCTATGGCCTTGTTCCACATCATCTAAGTATATAATTTTAAAACATGAAAATGTAGTTTTATAAAGTGACAATAATTCACGGTACTTGACAACCTATAGGCCATATTTCAGCTGTTTGTGACCAGTGATAGATATTAAAATTTCAGTTTGCACTATATAATTAAACATTCATAAAATGTCACATTGGTGGATGCATAGAGTATATAAATTGGTTATGGTAAAATTTTATAAAAAATAAATAATTACTGATCAAAATTATCTGAAATGGTATGTTGCCATTTATTATATATACTTCAGAGATACAAATGCTGGCTTTCAGAGAGAAAAAAGGCTGAAAATTGTATTTTTCAATCCTTTAAAAGGATAAAATGAAAAGGTTAGTATTACACAGGCTAAACAATTCTGGAAAAGGCTGAAATAAGCCAAAAAGGCTGAAAATTTTCAAATGCTGAAATTATTTTTAATCTTTTCTATCGGAAAAAATGAAAGGGTAAGTATTACACACTAAAATTCTGAAAAAGGCTGAAATAATTATGTCAAAAGGCTAAAAAGATTTTTTAATATTTTCTATGGGAAAAATGAAAGGGTAAGCATTACACAGACTAGAATTCTGAAAAAGGCTGAAAATTTCGTCTTGATGTTCAAAATATTATTTTTTTCATGAAATTATGTGCCAATTTTTTTTACCATCTAGCAATACAACTTAGCTTGGGGTCTTGTAAAATTTACAAACATATAACATAAGCAATGTATAATATGACAATATCATTGTTTATATTGCCATCCTACCTTTCTGCTACGAAGGCCACATCGTCTACATCAACTTCCTGTAAGATAGCAAAACAGGAAAATTAATATAATTAAACACCCTTTCCAAATAGGAACTTTCCAAATTGCATATTTTTTTTATAAAGTCAAGGACTAAATATCATTACCTGAATTAATGTTATAAAATATGGTCATTTATATATAAAAAAAAAATCCAGAAAAAAGGATCAAAAAGTTACAATTTATATCAAAATTTCATATTCCATTTATAAAGTTTTAAGTTTTGAAAAATAATTTGGAAGAATTACAACTTTTAAAGGTAGTCTTATTATCAGTTAAATCTATTTAGTGTTACAAATATATGGCACACCAAAAAAATACTCTTTTTTTTTTACAAATAAGGTAGCTAAATGACAAGTTGTTGTGCATGCATTCACTCATTATCACACGCATACACACACACTCGCATGCATGTTATATGTATATAAACATTTGGGGTGGAGCATTCTTATAAGCTTGAGCCCATACACAAACACACAATCCCCTTCCTATGAATTACTATTTTGACTCTTCAATTGAGATAAAATAAACTTATCATTTCATAATGTAGAAGTTGCAGCATCATATCCCTGATCACAGGGACCTGAGAATTTGTTACAGCTACATTTGGACCTAAACTAAGGTGTTCAGAGTTGTTTGACATGTTTTAGGGGTTTAGATCGAACACCTTTAGTTAAGGTCCAACTATAGCTGTACTGTAACAAATTCTCAGACCAATGTGACGAAATATAGATCTATATACAGTGTAAATTTTGGCATGCACATGAGGATCAAGATAAGTTTAAAACTTGTACAAATAACTCGATCTTGCACGTGGTTCCGTTTCTTAAAGCCTTGAAAATGAACGACACTCAGTTAAGTTCATATTAATATTATAATCCAGCACCTGCACACTTGTTGTGTATTTCGCGTCAAAACGTCAATTATTTTAGAGTTACTTCCCTTGCATTGCTTAGTACAACATGAATATTCCCATGAAGTAAAAAAGATGGAACGGATTACTTTAAAGACAAATCATTATGTTTACATCGTGTAAACTGGAAAATCCGGACTCAATCACTGTCTGTTAAACAAGAGTCACGAAAGCTATAAAATAAATCGGCTGGTGTAGTCGCGAAAAAGCGCAAGAATTTGATTTGGAAAAAGTCCGTGGTAATACACACGCATACTGGCATGAAAGTAGTTAATGAAAAGGACCGTGTACAACTTCATCAGCACTTGTTTCCCAATCATCTTCTTGAAATGTCTTATGGTGGTAAAACAATTGAAATTTTGAAAAAAGTGCGGCTGAAAGTCATGAATGATATATAAAATAACGTTCAGGATCTTGTCTACAAGTTATGGGGACATCAAGAACTGAGAAATAAAGTCCTCTTCAAATGCCTCCAAACGCAACCGGAAGTGAAGTGGATAATATAAAGAAGCACCTCAAGAAGCGAATAGACGCTTACAACGGTGTCACCTGCAATGAACCAATGAATCAATGTCGAGTACTCCATTGAAGTTGAAGATGTGTTTTTTACGTGTTGCTCGTAACGACAATCGCGTTTGATTGAAAATATTTTCAATATGATTTTAAATTCAAGCACACGAAAATCGCATTTGCGGCTAAAACATATAATTTCCCGGAGACTAGGTATTTTAATTTGCATTTAGATGTATTTGAAATATTCAAACACAAGACCGACCAAAGTCGGCAAAAAGAGGGATATGTACAATTTGCGCTAAGGACACTGCAGACTCTCTGCATCGGCCGCTTACCTCGAGGTCTCCGTCCGACCCGATCAACATGGACGGTTTAACGACTACTAAGCTGTACGATAAACATGACGATTTTCAATGTCCTATCGTGAACTTTCCCTTTCCTGTTTGTAACATCCCTTTGTGCGCACTTTGGTTTTCTGTTGATTTTTGTGTACCCGTGGGTATGTCAGCAATCTGTTGAAAACCTTTGCCACCAAGCTCAACACAGATATCGTCAACAAAGAATTCAATTATCTTCACGATTTCATTTTTGCCAGTTCAAAATCATATACATTCGTATCACCGTTTGCTTTTCATGGGCAAAATACTTCTCGTAATAAGAATATGAAAGGCGTTCCTTCAGTTTGGTGTGAGGTGTGGTAGTGTACAGAGTGGAAAGTCAAATGTTCTGATGGAAGAAACATTTTTGAAGGAAGGATGCAACCAAAGACAGACAGACAAAGAAAGAAAATTGAACTGAGGACTTCAAAAGAACATTAGAAGTTCACAAACGGCGAAATCAGGTAAAGGACCAACGTGAACATAATTAAAGGACAGGAGCGGATGATGGTGCAGTAAACCTAGTTATCTTGTTTGGTTATCACTAACGGAAACCATGCAATCAGTAACAGAATTAAGGAACAGTCTTCCAACCATACTCCGGTCATGTCGATCGTTTCCAAGAAATCTTTAAAATCCCGCTCTTTAAAACCGCTTTAGAACCAGATACTATAGTGTTTTACTGGTTATTGCGTTAAACATTTTGTCATATTTTTATCCTTATGAATGTTATGGTTTCTGGTCCTTTTAAGTCAAGCGATATTTATTTATTTATAAATTTATTAGAAATTGCAAATAGCTTAAATGTCTAATTGGAGTACGTAGGAGTAAAAAGGGGAAAATAAAGGTCCCAAAGTGATCTAATGGGGAGCAGATCAATGATCTCACGATCCTGCAGGGGCCTTCATTAGTCGCATGGACAAGTAGAGGAATAAAACAAGATATATTTTTGGTTACTCCAATGTTCACGCAGTAGAAAATTCTGAAGATTCCGATATTAGTTTCCTTGTATCAGGCATTTACAGGAGCTTGTTACCCTGTATCAGCCGTCACGATCGATCACTGCGATCGGAGCCAGGATCATCGCTGTGTGTCCAAAGATCTATGGAAACCGGTGCTTTGGGAGGGTTTCGGCCACCTTGTGGAATAGCTTTCCATTTGCTATTAGAAAGTCAAATACTCAGGCCAAATTAAAAATTCATCAAAACTCACCTCTTCACGTCTGCATTTTAGACTATTTGTACAGACGTCATGTGCATACCACCCTTTATTTATTCATTTATGTGCAAATTGCGATGCTTATCTCCTTGTTTAATGTATAATGGTGACTGCAAGCCATTTTATGTTTCACAATTATGCATAATACTATTATCCATATGTTATAAAGCGATTAAGACCAATTTTACAAATTATATAGGGCACTTTATAAATGTTGTATATTTTTATTATTAATCATATATACCAGGATGGGTTTTCTATAAGTTTCCTTGTATCATGCAGCGGGTTATAGGAGGGCTGCGTTAAAGCGAACTCACATGCTTGGATTTATTTATAAAGCAAGAAATCAATTTAATCTAGACCCTTTTTCGCAACACATGAGAAAGAATGGAAGGGTAAAACAACAATATGGATAGAGCGGAACCTCTTGAATCAGAACTCCCGTATTAAAACCCTCACTTTCCATTCGCTAAATATTTAAAAACAAAATGGTTGTTTTTAACGAAAAAAAATGATATATTCCTTCGATAACATTTTTATACCCCCGCAACGATGTTATTGGAGGGATATGCTGGAATCAGTTTGTCCGTCTGTCCTCCGTCAGTCTGTCTGTCCGTGGATGAAAGCTTTCCGGACAACTCCTCCTAATCTTATATGCCGACTTCAGCAAAACGTCACATGCCTGATCGGTTCATCAGCTGTTTGCGCACTTGACATTTACACATGAGTTTTGACTTTTTACCCTGAGCTATTTCTGTTTGTCGACTTAAGTCGTTTTAAGCCCTGTCCACATATATTCTCCGCACGTAAGTTCAAAAGTATGTGACCAATTACGATGGAATTCCTATGAGTGATACAAAGGATATATATTTCAACAAATGGCAAACTTTTAGCTTTATTAGATTCAAGACGGCCGCCATGGCCTCAGATTGGCTGAGACAATAAAAGTTATAACTTACGTTCTATGGCGCCGGCTTTGTTGATTCTTTGTTTTAGTGATACAAAAGGGATATACTATGTCGTCTATCAAACTTAACCCCGGGTATCCGTTTGTATCAACAGGTTTGTCAAATGTGTCTTGAAAAAATGTATAAAAAAACAAAACTTCAGTGGTCAATTGGGGGTATAAAATGACTTTGACTTACAGTTCTACTTTGTTTTTTTCCAATCCCGAAAACTAGTTCTTGGTAACAAAGTATCGGGAGTATCGAGATTACAATGTATAAACAGAAAAAAAGAAATATTGATAAAATGCATTGCAATATAAAATTTTACCTTGTAAATGGGATACTCGGGAAAGCTTCTGGCAACTCTTCGATTTTTACTCTTCAAATTATTAATTTTTTGCCGATATGTTGATATGGTTGGGCCGGCTCGAGAATAATCTGGTTTTGCCGGAAGTGGACCATGCGGTAGTCGCCATTCCTGTGCAGTAGCCCCTATTCGGGACTTTCGGACATTCAACTCTGCCCGGTAAATCGCTTCCTGTAGCGTGGTAAATGTGTTCAACTGGTGTCCCGCACTATCCCTTAACACAATTTTCGGAAGTCTTTCCGGTTCCTGTTTTATTGTAACATCCTTTTTCTCAACATCCGGTCTTAATCCATAAGGAGTGTCGAATTTGCTTGCGCGGTATGCTGTACCTCCCATTAAAGGGGCAAAGGAACTCCGCAGTTCAGCAGTCGCCATCTTGACATGCAGACCAGCCCTTCGTACGTATCACGTTGCCCTTTTAGTTTGCCAGTATTTGTACTGGTGTTTCTGGAAAAAAAAAAGAACAAGGAATAAAAACATATAGCATTTATGAATAAGTATGTAGATAAGAGTTTCGTGGGATGGGCAAACAAGTTTAAAGCTTCAAGAAACGTCTGTAGGTCGGACTTACAAGTGGTTTGCAGGGTAATCATTGATATAGATCAGCAAAGATAAAGAAGAAAATGAGAGTGAAAGGATGAAAAGACACAGGATATAACACTTACATACATTAAGTCACGAAATTTCATTATCGATCAAATCGTTTACAATATATAAATATGACATTCATTAGCAGGTGACAGTGAATATTGTCAACCCGAGAAAGCCATTGTCACCCGAGGCGAAGCCTGGGGTGACAATGGGTTTTCTCGGGTTGACAATATTCACTGTCACCTGCTTATGAATGTCATATCTATTTTGTTACACCAAAAGTCATTGTAGCTCAGAAACGGCAGCAAACCTCGATAATGACATCTTGTTTGTTGATAGTCTGCTGTTTACAATCGCTACCGCACCGGCGCTTTATAAGATTGGCTGTTGCCGTCAAACGTTCTTGTGACCATCACGGTGGGGAAACGAAGCGGTGAACGCACATTTTTCGCGCATGTGATATTTTTCACTGTCTCATGGCAATATTACTCGCACCCCTTAAAACCAATGTATTTTCGGAGTGTGACAGAGATTTTTGTTTTATTTTTTCCAAACCAATCAAATAGCTAGAAATTCAATTGAGGTGTAACAATATATAATGTAAGCAAGGGAGATAACCGGAAACATACACGCAGTGGGACACAGTGGGCCTACATCGACATCGATAGTAAGACTATCGATACAACAACCAACCGTATCATCCCATTGTAGGGGTCAGCACTCTTAATCATAATTCAATTGTCTGCCTTAGATACTCGAATTACTTTACATTGTTTGCTTTATAGCAGGAACACATTGTAACTAGCTTTATTATCTGAAATCAAAATTTCAAATCACACATTCTGAAATGTCTCTGTTGAAATCAAAGTACTTTTGTGTTTGTTTATCTGGTGTCAATCAGTTTTAATTCCAGGACATGCATAGTTTAGTTTCAGTTCCAATAATTAGGAAAATATCACTTATATAAAACTTAGCATTAAGTCTCGTGAAGCTGACTGAACTTGATACAACCGTATCCTGACTTGTATCAACGAGGAACGACGCGAGCTGTCGTGGGCAGTCTTTATCTGGAACCCTCCATCTTAAATATGTGCTTACCTACCTTGTTCATTTTGTTCGATAAATTCATGACTTGACTTTATTTTCATCAAATCAAAAACAGTGACAAGATTTGCAAAAAGAGCATTATTTGATGCCCAAGTCTCTAAACACAGATGCGAACGTTATCTAGACCAATGTCAACTCTGATGTGCTACAGATATGAACGCTTTGAAATTGTGATAAATAATATATAAAAAAAACCACAATCACATCAGGAGGCGAAAAAACACTAAAACTAAGGAAATTGAACATTTTAAACATGATTTTCTACTGTAATGATATCAAATTAAATAGTTCTTTTCATGAAAATTATTTTCATGCAAAATAAATATCCAACCCCAAATATCCTTGATGATGACGTGGTGCTTATGTGACGTTAAGTTAGGACAGGTCTTGAAAGGATAATATACACCAAATTAGTATATATGTTGATTAGATACATTGGGAAATGTAGTTAAAAAATCTCGTTAAATTTATTGCTATTTAAACATACGCAATAAAGATCAAATCGTTTTGTCACTCACCTGGATTTAGTTCTGCCCATACAAGTGATATGAACCAGAAACTAGATCCATATAATCTAAACACTTAACATTTGACCCCAAATAACCAAAAAGGGAGATAACACCAGCTATGGGTCACGTACGCTAGGTGTCGCTCCTTCTATTTATACTGGTTGTTTTGTGTAATCTACAAATAATCTCGACACTAACCTTACCCTCATCATCCTTTGAATCATACTGATAAGGTGACCTTGAGCTGTCTTAAAGTTCAGCACATCGGTAGTATATGCTAACTGACCAAAACAATCATCTTCAGTACATTTCACTATTTTGTTTTTATTTTTACATTGTTAATGAAATATTGCACATGGTTTTTTTTAAGATTCTTACATCATTTAAGTCGCAATGGAAAAAATCAATACGGCATTGAAACAAATGTGCATTTCTCTGTTTACAACTACGTAAGCTATTATTGTCATTTCTTTTTAAAAAAAAATTATATGTGTGGTTTTATCCGTATTAGCATTGTATTGAACGATTCTATCAATCCCTACTGTATGTGAACAAAATTGAAATTCGTTCAAATTTAGTTTTTTTACATAAATTGAAATTGAATACTAAAATCTGAAACTTTCTTATTATTGATCCAGTGTTGCCTTTTTCTTTATACAGTTCCATACATTTCACTGTTCCATTTGGCGTATGAACAAAATACACTATACACGCATGTCATGGCAACATTGTAACGTTAAGAAAGATAAGAAATACATTCTATAAATACCCCTTATGATACACTTAAAAATAGGAGAACAGACAAAATCTACAGGCGAATAATCAGAACCTTGCACATGGACGTTGAATGTTACTGACATTTTGTCTGAACAAACACATGGTGTCTAAAGAATTCATCTTTACAATACTATAGATTGGTCCCATAGGTAGAGATGTTCATATGGAGTTAAAACGCTTTGGATTGAATGTTCCAATGCTCAGCCGCCTTGGTTATAATCAACCAAAATGTATTCTCACTGTACATGTAGTGACATTCACCTTCGTTACACCGTCGGCAACGCATTCCTGATCTGTTTAAGACTATCTAATGTTAGTAGCGGTATCAGATATTGTCAATCATACTCTATCTCCAGAGATAACTCAAGAGTATCATAACCTGTAGTGAAACAAACGGTACGTATGCCTAGCAATTTACATGTCAATCATTGTTGTCCTTGATAATGTCTCATTCTGAGTAATCGTCAAATAGAGCGACTATAATACCGTATCTTCAAAACTATTTTGAACAATGCTTGCCGAACCAATGTCCTTTGTAAACAATATATTGTGTTACCTTGAATTGGAAGGCCGTTGAAAGATTAATCCTTCAGAAAAATAAAATACATATTCAGTCTTTAGAAAACTCATTTAGGTAATGAAATCGCCCAATTCACAGACTCATCCACTCCGCTTTGATGGCCATCCAAATTTGTCGAAGCTGTATGACTATCCGGGATACAACAAAACATCATGGAAATAGCATGTCACAGAAAGGATATTCAGCAGTACACAAATTGGGTTAATTTCTTCCACTGATGGCAAACGTAAGCTTAATCCTTCGGGTTTTGATTATTGGATGGTAGTACGAAACACGTGTTTCCACATTGCTAGACGTTTACACGGTAAATACTCCATAATGAATGATTTGAAATTGAACACTACTTGTTTGATCAATGTTGAAGCTATTAGACGCACGAATGGTTTCATACGTATACATCCCTCTGTTTAAGGACATGAGGCACGATAGTCTAGTGGCAGGACGCCGGGCTCGTGACCGAAGGGTTGCGAGTTACGTCACGGCACTGTGTTGTATCTTTGAGCAAGATACTTTACTCCGCTTGTTCCAGTCTACACAGCTGTAACTGAGAACGTGGTTGGTCAGTGATAGAATTGTTGAATGCTAGATATGAGCATGGAAATGGCAGTACCGGCTGTATGCTCCCCAGGGAGTTGAGAAAGATATTGGCTGGTTGCAAAGGCCCTATAATAATGGATTATAATTTGTGATTCGCTTTGAGACGACCTACGAACTAGGTTGTGATTAAGCTGTATATAAGAACCTCGAATTATTATTATTAATGTTATTATAAAATGCAAATCGTTCAAAAGAGTTGTTCTAGTTAACTTTCTGATAAGTACTCAAGTCCATAACGAATGATATCTAGACTTACACGATTGCTTAAGTCATTCCCCAGTTTAGGATATGCAGCCTAAACGACCGGCATCCGAAACAAGACTAATTATTGATCTTTGATAGGAGATTTATATAAACAGCACGAGCAGAACTCAGGGCAATTTCATCATCGATATCCAATTTCCGGTTCAACATGTCACACTACCTGAGTCGCTATATCTATCAACCTGATTCCCCTTTATTCGTTAGTGTTGATATCAAGTTTAATGGACCGGATTAGTCCATTAGGAGTGGAAGGTAATGCTGCGTTGCTCTCTTAATTGATTTTCAAATCAAGAGCAGCAGCAATAGTTATGTTAATTCAACGCCGTCTGAACAATAAAACACAGATATTGTATCTTGATTTTCAAAATGCCATTCTTGTGAAATCAATGCCATTAATTGTATTCGAATGAATAGAAACGAAAAAAATCAAATTGATGGAAAGCATTTAATACGGAAATTGCATTACGTTTTATCTCTGTTACCTGTTTACCCGGCTTCATTCGTAATGTATCAAGCTTCTTCAGGCCGAGTACGCAATAAGGTAAAATCGATTAAATTTTTGTTGCAATGATTAAAACTTAAAACAAAATAAAGAAGTCTTTGGATTAATAATTATCACCCTTGAATAATAAATATACACAAAAATGCACACATTGTTAGATTATTTTCAGAAAATTAAAAGCTTTTCTGTCATTAAGCTAATGGATATCAATACCACTGGGTCATAGTAAGCATCAATTATACTAATACATTAGTATTAGTGAAAATGTAGATTTGAAAAAAGATTCCAGTCGAGTGTCCGCCACACGAAGATGACGCGTAAAGCATTGATGAAGCATTCGACAAAGTAAGTATACATTAACTGATTAACACGCTAAATGCTTAGCATGTAATACGGTAATTTCAAAGTACTACAACGGTATATTTCATTGGAATTAATCATCATTATTGTTGCATCATTAATTTATTATTTCAGTTCTATATTACATTTCACAGTTTAGCACCGTATTCTCATTTCCAAT